TGTGTTTTCCACCTGGCATGTGATGCATGTATGAGATTGACAAAGCACAGTGCCATTCTGCATCATAGTCACCCCCTTGAATGATCACTGCTGACAAGCTGAAACAAACACAGAATGCTGGAGAAACTCAGCACGTTCAGCAGCATCCGTGCAGAGCGAAACATAGTTAGCATTTTGAGTCTGGTATGTACTTCAGAACCGTGACAAGCTGCCTTGGCTTGGATCTGCACTAAAATGCAAGTTAATGTAGAAGTACTGCGAGCCTATTAGCACTGGCTGAGGGGGCAAAACACAAAAAGGTAAGACAAGGGAAGGCAAAGCAAGGACGATGTGAGCATCAAAGTAGGTACGAGTTGAGTGGGTGCTAAAACATTGAGTGAGGATCTCTGAGGTATGACCTGGTCCAAATCCATTAGATGGGTACCTGGCCCTGGGCGCAAAGTATCGTTGCAGCAGCACTGCATTGATAGGTGTCAATGCAGTCCAAAGTACAGCATCAATGTTGTACTATATGCACTACTCCAGATGTGGTCTCACCAATGCCTTGTATAACTGCAACAACACTTTCCTACTTTTACACTCAATTTCTTTAACAATAAATGCCAAAATTCCATTTGATATCCTTACTACCTGCTGTACCTGCGTACTAAATTTCTGTGACTTACGTACGTGGACACTCGGATCCCTCTGCATTAAAGCATTTGAAGTTTCCCTCCTGTTAAAAAGTAAGTTGCCTTTTTACTCTTCAAAAATGTATAAATTCATAAACTCCATCCACCAAATCCACCTAATGGGGAGGCAATGGCCTATTGGTATTATCACTGGACTGTTAATCTAGAGACCTAGGTAATGTTTTGGGGACCTGGGTTCAAATCCTGCCAGGGCAAATGGTGGAATTTGAATTCAATAAGTATCTGGAATTAAGAGTCTAGTTATGACCATGAATCCATTGCCAATTGTCAGAAAAACCCATCTGGTTCACTAATGTCCTTTAGGGAAGGAAACTGCCAACCTTGGTCTGGCCTACATGAGACTCCAGACCCACAGCAATGTGGTTGACTCTTAACTGCCCTCTGGGCAATTAGGGATGGGCAATAAATGCTGGCCTAGCCAGCGATGCCCTCATCCCCTGAATGAATGAAGAGAAAAAAAATTTGACCTATTCCCCTAACTTATCGTATCCATTGTAAGTTTCTTTATTTCTTCATTGCAACTTCCATCTATTTTAATGTCTTCTGATAATTTGACTATGGTGCATTCTATCCCTCCATCGAAGTCATTAATATAGATTGTAAATAGTGTGTCCAAAGAAAGCATAGAATGGTCATCGGTTGTAATACTGTTGCTTCCAATGTCCAACTCATTCTCTTCTGAAGCATTGTTTCTTGTGGATAGATCAGTGAGCTATGGGTCTTGAAACTTACACTGTATATATATTATACCTAAAAATAACATGAAATCAATCCATTTCTCTAATCACTGGCTATTTGGGTTTACTCCTCATGATATGTTGGGAGTACCAAGACTAATTATTACATACCAGCAGTCAGCAATGGGATAACAGATGCCCATTGTGTGCTGAGGAATAGTTTGGGTGTGGGAGAAGATATTAACTGTGTAGTGACACTGGGAAAATAGGTTTGGTTTACCAGAACCAGTGGTGCCTGTGCGTCAAGAGATTGGAGTCATAATTTTCTTTTGCTTTTGATTTTGGTTTCCCCTTCAGTGTTTATTCAGCTACAGCACGGTCTAAGTGTCTCCACCTGTGTTATAGGGTAGCAACTTTAACTTGTAGCAAAATCAAGGGTCTTATAATCTTAGCTCATAGGCTATGTACATGCTTCCAACTACTTCTGCATCACCAGCCACATTAAAGGTATCATAGACCTCTTCATATTTTTAATTCTTTTTTTTGTGGGATCTGGGTGTCACTGGCTGGCCAGCATTTATTGCTCATCCTTAGTTGTCCTTGAGAAGGTGGTGGTGAACTGCCTTCTTGAACCACTGCAGTTAGCCTGCTGTGGGATGACCCATGATGCTAATAGGGAGGGAATTCCAGAATACTGATCAAGCGACAGGGAAGGAACGGTGATATTTCCAAGTCAGGATGGTGAGTTGCTTGCAGGGGAACTTGAAGGTGGCGGTGTTCTCATGTATCTGCTGCCCTTGTCCTTCGAGATGAAGGTGGTCATGAGTTTGGAAGGTGCTATCTGAGGGTCTTTGGTGAATTTCTACAGTGCATCTTGTAGATGGTACACACTGCTGCTACTGGGCATCAGTGGTGGAGGGAGTGGACACTTGTGGATGTAGTGCCAATCAAGTGTGTTACTTCGTCTTGGATGGTGTCAAGCTTCTTGACTGTTGTTGGGGCTGGCAAGTGGAGAGTAGACCATCACACTCCTGACTTGTGCCTTTTAGATGATGGCCAGGCTTTGGGGAGTTAGGGGGTGAGTTACTCGTTGCAGTATTCCTAGCCTTTGTCTTGCTCTTATAGCCACTGTGTTTATGTGGCAAGTCATAGAGTCATAGAGCACAGAAACAGTCTCTCCAGTCCAACTAGTCCATGTTGAACATATTCCCAAACTAAACTAGTTGTACTTGCCTGCTCGTGGCCCATATCCGTCCAAAGCTTTCCTATTCATGTACTTAGTTAGTAAGAACTACAGATGCTGAAGTCAGCGATAACACAGTGTGGAGCTGGAGGAACACAGCAGGCCAGGCAGCATCAGAGGAGCAGGAAAGTTGAAGAAGGGTCCTGACCTGAAACGTCAACTTTCCTGCTTCTCTGATGCTGCCTGGCTTGCTGTGTTCCTCCAGCTTCACACTGTGTTATCTATTCATGTACTTATCCAGATGTCTTTTAAAGATGGTAATTCTAGTTGAGTTTCTGGTTAATGGTAACCCCCAGGATGTTAATAGTGGGGGATTTGGTGACAGTGATACCATTGAATGTCAAGGGGTGGTTGGTTAGATTGTCTGTTGTGGCTGATGGTCATAGCTTGCCATTCCTGTGGCATGAATGTTACTTGCCACTTGTAAGCCCCTTTGAACATGGACTGAGATAGTGTCTGAGGAGTTGCGAATAGTGCTGGACATTGTGGAATCATTGGTGAACATTTCCACTTTTGACCTTATAATGGAGGTCAGGTCATTGATGAAGCAGCTGAAGATGGTTGGGCCTAGGACACTACCTGAGGAGCTCTTGTAGAAATGTCCTGGAGCTGAGATGACTGACCTCCAACAACCACCACCACCTTCCTATGTGTCAGGTATGACTCCAACCAGTGAAGAGCTTGCCCCCGAAACCCATTGATCCCGTTTTGCAGAGCTCCTTGATGCCACACCCCAGTCGAATGCAGTGTTGATGTCAAGGGCTGTCACTCTCTCCTCACCTCTGGAATTAAGCTCTTTCATCAATGTTTGAGCCAGGGCTGTATTGACATCAGGAGCTGAGTGGCCCTGGCAGAACCCAAACTGGGCATCGCAGAGCAAGTTATTGCTGAGAAGGTGCTGCTTGATAGCACTGTTGACAACATCTTCCATCATTTTACTGGTAATTGAGAGTAGACTGATGGGATGGGAACTGGCTGGGTTGGATTTGTCCTGCTTTTTATGTACAAGATATAACTGAACAATTTTCCATGTTATCACTTAGATGCCAGTGTTGTAACTGTACTGGAAGGGAGCAGTATATTTTGGAGCATAAGTTTTCAGTACTATTGCCAGAATGTTGTTATGGCCCATAGCATTTGCAGTATCTAGTGTCTCCAATTGTTTCTTGTTATTCTGAGGAGTGAATCGAATTGGCTGAAGACTGGTATCTGTAATGCTGGGGACAAATGGAGGAGGCTGAGATGGATCATCCACTTGGCACTTCTAGCTGAAAACTGCTGTGTATGCTTCAGCCTTAAGTTTTGCACTGATGTGCTGGCTCTTCCATAATTGAGGATATTTGTGGAGCCTCCTCCTCCAGTGAGGTGTTTAACTGTCCATCACTAGTCATAACTGGATGTGGCAGGACTGCAGAGCTTAGATCTGATCCATAGATTGTAGGATTGCTTAGCTCTTTCTATCACTTGCTGCTAATTCTCTCTCTTTGGCATGCAAGTAGGCCTGTTTCTTAGCTTCACCAGGTTGACACTTCATCTTCAGGTATGCCTGGTGCTGGCATGCCATCCTGCATTCTCCATTGAACCAAGGTTGATCCCCTGGCTTGATAGTAATGGTTGAGTGGGGGATATGTTGGACCATGAGGATGCAGATCGTGTTAGAGTACAATCCTGCTGCTATTGATGGCCCACAGTGCCTCATGGAAGCCCATCCTTGAGTTGCTAGATCAGTTTGAAGCTTTTCCCTTTTTAGCACGGTGATAGTGCCACACAACATGATGGAGGTTATTCTCAATGTGAAGGCGGGACCTTGTTTTGACAAGGACTTGTGGCAGTCACTCTTACCAATACTGTCATAGACAGCCAATAACATACATCCAATAATATAGAGAATGGGTGCCAGAGACAATTTATGATATTACATTCCCACCATTGTCTTATCTGCCTTTATTTCTTGTGCTTCAACTGACTGCATGCAATCTATTTTTAAAATTATACACTGATTAGTGCTTACAGATGTGTTGGTTCTAATAGGATTTGGGAGAATTACACAAAGCTGACCAAGCAGCATTTGATATGAGATTAAACCCAGCCTAGTAAAAGAAAAATCCCATTGCAACATTACCCATTGCTCAAGGTTACCCAATTGAAGAAATGTGTAACTGAACTTTACATGTGACGGCGTAAACAAAAATAAGTCAGAATAGATACAAGGCTGATTCATTATTACTGTCAGCAGATATCTGAACAATTAGTGAAAGGAATGTTGCAATAATGATGTGTAACTGTGGGCTTAGTTGCAGCAGCAGGCAATTCTGGGAGATTTATGTAAAATTACCTATGGCAAAATTAATTTCATTTGTAAATGTAGTTGATTTTTAGAGGATAAACATGAACAATGAAGGTTACAACATTGTGCTTAATGTATCTTCTGGTCCCATTCTCGTATTCACTGCTAGTAAACGTATTTTGTATCAGCTGTGGGCTAATAACATTAATCAGGTACAAATGAACTCTATTGCAGAAATTGTGCTCTCAAGAATATTGGGGTTCATCATGCAATTCCTTGAACAGAGGATATATTGCTCTGGTGGATCTGACACTATCATAGCAATTGAGAAGATGTGAGATGAAATACAAGCAAAATAGATAGGGAAGCGGAAAATAATTATTTTAATAATAATCTCTCACTAACTCTCACTCTTCTCTTTCTCTCTCTCTCTCTCTCTCTCTCTCTCTCTCTCTCTCTCCACCTAGCCCTGTTGATATACCTTATTTTGGGGCTGGCAATCTATGTTTTGTCAATCATCTGTCTAAACCCTCTTGGCAACAGACATGATGCAAGGGTGAACTTTTCCCCCTTGCCCACTTTATCTGAGGGTTCGTTAAACATTCTGACTAACAACAAAAACTTCTTATTTTTCCAAACAATAACGACAGTAGGGTAGTGTGGAGCTCAATAAATCTCTGTCGGTTATAACCTCAGTGATTCTTTTCCTTTGTTCACATATACTTGAGATCTGTTTATATTTGTAGAAAGCTAGTGATGCTCTGCACAGAAAATACTAAATATGGCATACTAAAAAAAATTCCAAGTTTTAAAAGAGGACCACAGTTTCCAACTTCACCACCATTTGTAAGTTGTATCTCCAAGTCACACCATACTGACTTACAACCATGTCATCATCCCTTCAATGTTGCAGGGAAAAATTCTTGGAACTCATGTCCCTAACAACACCTATGTGTGTACCTAAAGGACATGTTCATGAGGTAGCTCACCACCATCTTCTCAAGGGCAATTGGGGATGGGTAGTAATTGTGGACCTAGCCAGAAACAACCACATGCCATCAATGAATAAAGTAATTTTTTTTATACAAATTTGACTGCTGCCTTCAAATAACTCTAATTATACCCTCAGATCTTTCTCTGTTCTGCATGCCCTTTAATGTTTTACCATTAGGTTTATATTCTTTCTTCCAGACTTTGTTATGACACAGTTGTATCCATTAAATTTCTACCATGTATCTTCCTATTTCATTCATTTTTCCATGTTCTCCTCACTTCTGTTATTACCCTTTATTCAGTACCACAGATTAAAGGCTTAATATTTATCAGAAAAACATTCAATTTGAATAAAATTGTATATTCTTGATGTGAATCCTGGCTTTATGTCACACATTTTTATCTCAAAATAATGATAAATAAAACTGTTATAATATGTAGAATCATATAGTGTAATTTATTTAACTTCAAACATTTTGATGAATTTTGCCATGGAAATGTTTAAAGTAGATTTGGACTTTTCAGAATCGACTTTGTGCAGATATGAACATTTGACAAAGTTTGAATTGTTAATTACATTGAATAAAATAAAGTGTTAGAATATTTGAAACAGCCCCAGCATCCTGATTTTGGTTTAAATGTTTTTTTAATGCTGCTGTGCTGGCCAATATTTAACCCAAAAACAGCATCACCAAAACTAAGTATACTTTTTTTAAAAGAACAAAGAACTGCAGATGCTGGAAATCTGAACCAGAAACAGAAATTGCTGGAAAAACTCAAGAGACCCAGAGACATTTACTGTTTCACCCTCCACTGATGTTGCCAGACATGCTGAGTTTTTCCAGCAATTTTTATTTTGTATCAATAATATTATCTTAGTGTTGGATCTTCTTTGACATACATTAACTGCCATTATTCCCTACGTTACAAATGTGACTAGATTGCAGCTAAATCTTCCACTGTTACTGGAAAAAGTTTCAAATGTACCTGCATTTGATATTGGTTTCCCTAACCCTATTTTTGATTTTTATTGGGACTGATATCATTTAACTTCATCCACGCACTGGAAAATTAAAATCAAGATCAATGTTGTGATTGGTGATGCTAATATAAGAAGAGGAGATTAAGTCATAATGTACAGTATTATAGTGAGTGGGCTGGCTCTGGTAATCACCCGAGATGGTTCCAATTATTTCAAGGTGGTAAGCGGAGGAGATGTTTTGAAGTTATAGGTCTGCAGATTTGCTAATCTTTCATTGTAACTGCAGATAATTGCTTAGATTTTCTGTTATCATTCACATAATGTGTGAATTTTCAATCTTGACTTGGCTGAGGATTGTTGCTGCAGTCGAATGAAGATAGTGCCTTCCATATACTGTTGACAACCTAGTTTTTTACGTGGATCTAAATTAAATGTAGACTATTTGTGGGAGTCCAGGACTTGCATCAAGTGGTCCATTCCACTGTGGTAAGCTTCTCTTAACTCTGTATCAAATGGGTGTGTTGCGGATATTGTGTTCTTGAGTAATTTTATGTCTATTTGTTGAATATAATGGTTTGGACATATTTTACACAATGGCTGTTATTCAGCACAGTGATGCCTAATTGATTAATGTCTGAACTCTTTTCCATTTCATGTTAGAGAGACATAAGATTAACTTATCGTTATTTTGCTCAGTCATTGATTTTCAATGTGATACACTGCTCAGTTGTTCCATGTAATCTTCAAGGGTCTCTCAGAGCAACGTTTCGGGTTAAATGACATCCAAACATTTGCCACTGATAGAATGAAAGCAGTTTAGTACTTATATTAATTATACACTGTGTATAATTAAATGATGTAGTTCTATTTTCATTGAATGGAAAGCAGTATTGTGTCATCAACTAAAACTGAACAGAAAGTGAAAGGGAGGATATTCTAATATTCATTTTGCAAAGATTATTTTAGGAAAGCTGTAATTATTCTAAGTGCCTCACTACTTCACATATTTATTATCAGACAGATATGGATTTTTTTAAAAATGGGATTGAACAGGAAGGGCAAATTTTTTTTACAGAGGATGGTAAATTAATTTAATATATCTGGAAAATTAGACATTAGGTAAATATGGAGCATAATCCTTGCCCGAGAGTACGTTATCTCCATCTTCATACCTTGTTCCATTCTTTGATAACTTTTGGGCCAATTTTTATTTTCTTGCTCTGATAGTATTAGAGCCTGCTGCTTTGTGCTCCAGCATTAATTAGTTAATAAATTAAAATGTTGACAAATCAATTTTCCCATTAATTCAGGAATAAGGACAATTATATTTATGTTGCTATGCATGCACTCTGCATTGGGAATTACTCAGACTTGCCTGGGAAAAAAAATGAGCAACATAATTTTCTCAAATGGGAGGAAAAGAGTTAAGTGGAGAGTGGATTGATTTGGTCTTTTCTGTTAATTATTTGGGGTAAATAAAGCTCAAAGTGGCAATGTGAAAGTGCACCTGGTCCATTGGGAGTAAAAGTCCTTTTGTGTCCATTATTTTGAGTTGCTTTCATACACTTCCTAGTGGCTGTAAAGTACTGAGAATAAACCTACTGGCAATTTTTAAATTAACAACTTACCGTTGTACCGAGTGCCGTTGACTTGGATGGGAAATGTAAAGTGGTGCAGTATAGGACATTTTGGACAGACTAGACAGAGATGCGTTTTGGAGCAGAATAGAGTTTATTCTGGATCTATTTCTCACCATACCTGACTAGAATATTTGTTGCTGACAGTGAATGATAAATATGGAAAACAATTTAATTTCTTAAAACTGACGTTTCTCACTTTGAAGATCATAAACAACACAAAAAAGGCAAATAAATTACACTAATAATGCTGGCCATCTCCGGTATTGTAATTAAAATACAATTGTTTTGATATCTTATTCTAGGTTTGAGTTTTTATGAATATCTGGCCATACCTAGCATTTAAGAGACTAATATGAAAACAATTCAAGATGAACAACTAAGAGAATTTGAATCAGTTAGATTAACTTCATGGATTATGTCAATGCACAAACTTCTGAAAGATTTAAGTAACACAGTGCTCAGACTAACACTAGGAAGTTGTGGTTTTATTATCTCATTATTCGTGTTTATTTGATGCCTTTCTCATAGAAGTGGAATTTAGCAATAAATCTGTTTTCCTCTCCATCTGGATACAGATGATTATGAAAAGTACCAGAGGTTTAATAGGATTAGTGAATTCTTATGTCTTTGTAGTGTTACTAAATGTTCAACAATATATCCATCCACGGTTAATTAATTTCCAATGCTTCTAGACCTACACCCGGGCTAGATAAGGACTGCTGTAGTTGGTAAACCGATCATTACATTGTGCAATTTGCGATTTTAAGAGTTAACACAGAACGGCAAGTCCAAGTTTTTATTGTCACATTGCATTAGTTGTTACGGATGGTAATAAGAGGCACTTATCAAAGTAGATTGCCATTGAAATGACCTGGTTCTCAATGTGAAGATTAGGAGGATGATACCGAGTGTTAAGTGTATCTGTGTTGTTACTTGGTCATGTAATTCTCACCTGTTTGAAGGGGTCATATATACAAACTTGCAAACTAAAAGCCAACAAATAGATGTTTCAAAAATTCTTAACTAAGGTTAAAAGCAGGAGGGCAAAAAGCTCGCTGCTGCTGTGGCACAATCTGACTTGTGGGGGCAGGAGGAGCACCCACAGAAAGCGGATGCAGTGAATAATTGTGTTCCAGTGTAACTTAAAAGAACTTAAAAGAGAGACAATCAATAAGAAATATAAAAAGCAAAGTAAGTCCTCAAAACCTTTAATTAGGATCAAAAGCTTCATAACCCATCCCATAGCTTTTGCCCATACTGAAGAGGGTAATGGCTGAAAGGTAACGGGCAACAATGAAGAGGAAGTAACCCTAAGGCACAAGGAATTTTCACAAATGTGTGTTTATTATTTAACATATTTGTAAAGAAATCAAATCTGTCTTTAAAATGGACACAAGGAATCTTTATATAATGGCTCTCAAAAGCCACATGACTTCTCTTGTGGATTCATCTACAGTCAAAGCAAACAATCAGACTGTGTTATCTACACAGTCAATCATAAAGAATCGTTAAATAATTCAAGAATTCCAGGGTGCCCACTCTACCCAAAAAGGTATGAAGACTCAAACTAGGGGACAGAAGGGATATCACAAGGAAT